TGAAGAAGTAACTTTCCACAGGCTTATTCTTGAACTGTGCTGGAGGGTTTTCTGGTGCCCTTCAGAGTATAAGGCCGACTCAAAAATTTGAGGGTCAAAACAAGTCCATCAAATCTAGAGTACGTTCGACCTTGATGATATGGGATACTTTTGCTGTTGACGGAATAATGAATGTGGTATGGAAAGGTGTCGTGCTGTAGTGATCTGTTTCAGCTCACCGTTGAACCTTCTGCTTCAATCTTTTGCATGGCAGAAGTGGTGTGCAACCTTTGCATTTAAATGGTCCTTCAGAACATTCCTTCATAGTGACTCATCCACGCTTGGCAGCTTCAGTGTAAAGAGCCAATATCTGATCAACTGTCATGAGGTATTTGCCGGTGGAATTCGTGACCTTGACAGCAGTTGAGGATGAGTACTCGAGAGCAATGCTAAGTAAGCAACCAGGCAAAGGCTCCAGGCAGTCAGTTCCAAATTAGAGGTTTGATTTCAGGTTCCGACTGACTGCTCTCTTTCTCCTTGTCCTGCATGTGTGGACAAGGACAAAGACAAAGATAGGGAGAAAGCATGATATGGGATACTCTTGCTTTCGACCCTGATGATATGAGATACTCTTGTTCTTGGTGTGGCTTATTTGCTGAGGTATTATCGGGGGGAAATAAAGCTGAGTATTTCGAGAGGTTATGTTGAGGGTGGCTTTTCGAATGCGAGAAAGGGTTGAGCATTTTTCCAGGTTTGCCTGTCCGTTGAGGAGGGAGGTCAATGTATATAGGGATTTCCCAATAACAAGTAGTAATGCTATTCCTTTACCCTTCTTGCCAGCTTCACGTGTTTTAATTTTGTCAGAGCACTTTGAAAAAGTGGTATGTGGTATCTGGAAAGCTGATATTACGTGTGAAGATTACAGACAAGCTTTATCTAAGGAAATCTGGCTCTCGAAGTTCTGAGAGTTGTGCCTATTCGGTTTTCGAACAAGCAATCCCGTCGAGGATCTGACTCTCGAGATTCGGAAAGCGGTGCTACTCCGGTTTTTGAGAAAGTAATTATGTTGGGAGTCTTTTCTCGAATGTGAGTAAAGGTTGGACGTTCTTGCCAACCTGTCTTGCCGCAAAACACGGAGGTCGACACACACAGGGACTTTCCAGTTGTCAAACAGTGGTGCTGTTCCTTTACCCTTATGGGTAATAGTAGGGTAGCTGGAACTTCGAAATTCTCGTGCCTAAACTTTGTCAGAGATCTTTGACAAAGTTATATGTGGTACCCGAGGAGTTGATGGTGCATATGGAGAACGGTGATTGAACAGTAAGATTCATGTGCTTTTTACTTCACCAGAAATCTTCGACAGATTGCCCGTAATTTTCGCAAAGCTGATTGTGCATGTGACAGGTGCTGACGAGGCTGAAAAAGCAGGTGCTTCTTCGATTTCTGAGATCGGCCCTCGTGGTCTCTGAGCAGCCCAGCTTTTGAGAAAGCAAACGCCTCTTCGATTTCTGAGATCGGCCCTCGTGGTCTCTGAGCAGCCCAGCTTTTGAGAAAGCAAACGCCTCTTCGATTTCTGAAGCTCCGTCGAGTGCAGATTTTTATAGAGGCTGGCATTAAGTTCCACAACACACCTGAATCTCTACCAGTAGAAGCTCATTTCTTGCACTTCTAAGATCTTGATTTGTCTGACCTCTTCCTTCTTCAACACATTTGAAAATGTCTGGACCCTCCGACCGTCGTTTTGACCTGAACCTTGGAGAAGAGACAGCCACGCCTTCTCCAGACAACATATGGCGCCCATCCTTCATATCCCCTACTTGGTCCTCTTACCGTTGGGGATTCTGTGATGAAGAATGATATGACCGCTGCAGTGGTGGCCAGGAACCTTCTCACTCCCAAAGATAACAGACTACTTTCCAAACGGTCTGATGAGTTGGCTGTTAAGGACTCTCTGGCTCTTAGTGTTCAGTGTGCAGGTTCTGTGTCTAATATGGCCTAACGCCTATTTGCTAGAACCCACCAAGTTGAATCATTGGCTGCTGAAGTGATGAGTCTCAAACAGGAGATTAGAGGGCTCAAGCATGAGAATAAGCAGTTGCACCGGCTCGCCCATGACTATGCTACAAACATGAAGAGGAAGCTTGACCAGATGAAGGAATCTGATGGTAAGGTTTTACTTGATCATCATCGGTTTGTGGGTTTGTTCCAAAGGCATTTATTGCCTTCGTCCTCTGGGGCTGTACCTGGTAATGAAGCTTCAAATGATGAACCTCCAATGCCTCCTCCTTCTGGGGTTTTGTCAAGTACTGAGGCTCCGGATAACCACCCTCCGGTGCTTTCTCTTTCTGGGGCTCTACCGACTGCTGAGACTTCCCCTAAGCAACCTTTGTGAAGGCTCCCTTTTGTTTGTTTATTTTTGACTCATGTATATGTACATATTTGTGGCTTATCGAAAATATTAATAAATAAGCTTTGCTTCATTTCAATATATTGTGTTAAATACACCAAAGCCTTCTTCATAAAGTTCTTTGAATTTTTGCTTTTGTTGAAACCTGTATTGTTGAAGCTTTGTGAGTGAAACATGTAGTTTGAGGTAGTGTTTCCCTTAATTTCCCGAGTGAGGAAAACTTCTCGGTTGGAGACTTGAAAAATCCAAGTCACTGAGTGGTTGTGAGACTGCCGAGTATTAAGGTGCAGTAGCATATGGTGGGAGTCCCCCAAGTCTTCAGGCGAAGAGAGTTGCCGAATGAGGTGTCTCGCTTGTTACTAATTTGTCAAAGTAACGAATCCTTGTTTCGATGTCACACATTCGCATATGCCTTATCTAAAAACATTTCCAACTTTTGTGTGTGTTTGATGCTGCATGCTATTGACTAGACAAGATCAAGTGCAATTAGTAGCTTTTCTCTCTTTTTCATCTTTTCTTTGGTGGAATTGCTTTTCGTTTCCACTAATCAGCCTGAGTGGATGCAAGATAACACCATTCTCTATAGCTCAGATCGCAAAGTCGTCTTCATGAAAGTTGTTCCTTATCTTGTGAACTACAACATCTCCAAATTTGAGATCCATCGGAGTAGTACAACTCCAGAAATTCAGGTATGATGAGTAACTGTTCATCAATTTTCTGTTAACCCGTCAGACTTGTTGTGAGCTTCTAAACTCCATTTTTTCTTGTTCATCTCAACATACTTTCTTCATCGAAGTTGTTCCTCACCTTGTCAGCTACAACATATCCAAATTTGAGATCCATCGGAGCAGTACAAATCCAGAAATTCAGGTATGATGAGTGACTGTTCATCATTTTTCTGTCAACCTGTCAGACTTGTTGTGAGCTTCGAAACTCCATTTTCTCTTGTTCAGATCAACATACTTTCTTCATCGAAGTTGTTCCTTAACTTGTGAACTACAACATATCCAAATTTGAGGTCCCTCGGAGCAGTATAACTCCAGAAATCCAGGTATGATGAGTGACTGTTTATCATTTGTCTGTCAACCCGTCAGATTTGTTGTGAGCTTCGAAACTCCATTTTCTATTGTTCAGATCAGCATGCTTTCTTCATTGAAGTTGTGCCTCATCGTCTCTTTCATAACATATCAAAAATTCAGAATGACATGGAAGTTGATGATTGGATTATGACATGGAAGTTGATGATTGGATTATGACTTAAGCGTTGATAAACAAACTCATTCCTATTGATGACACATCATTTAGTTTGTAAATTTTGTCTACAAATTTAGTTTCGCTAGCATTAAGCCATTAGGAAAAATTGTCACTTACCACTTTCAAATATCGTTAATTTTCAACTTTCATACCAAAAGCTTTTTTCGTCTCACTTTCATATCTAAAGTTTGAGTTTTGTGACACTTTCACACTTTCGTCTACTTATATGAACGTCGATGATTGCATAATATTTTGTGCCACGTGGATAAAAATGGTAGTAATTTTGTTAGGTAATTCTTTTTCTATTTTATCCACTTGGCTCAAATATTATGTGTTCTGCGACGTCCATGTAGGCAAATAACAGAGCCTTGACAGAAAGGCTAACAAAGTATGAAAGTATCACAAAATTCAAACTTTAGGTATGAAAGTGGGACAAAAAAAACTTTAGGTATGAAAGTTGGAATTTCAAGATACTTGAGATTAGTAAAGAGAGTTATAAACTAGGTAGTTGAAACCTCCAAGATTTTTTCTTTTTAACATTTATTTTTATTTTAAATTAAGAAATTGTCAAACAAAAGTACACACCATACTACGTTGATGATGAAAATGGAAGTGGAAATTTTTTCCAAAGAGAGAATTAAACCATCTTCCCCAACACCCTCCCACCTAAGAATTTTTAAGCTTTCCCTTTTGGATCAACTCATACATGCTCCCTTGCTCCCATTATCCTCTTTTATGACAATTCTTATACTATTATGATACTCCTACATCATAAGACCCTGCACTACTATCACTTTCCTTGAAGATGATGATCTTGAAGACAACAACGATGAAGACGATGATGATGCCACAATCATGAAAAGGTTGCATGCTCTGAAGACGTCTTTGTCGGAGATCTTGATTGGGTTTTACCCGCTTGCCGGGAAGATAAAAAATGACCTGACCATTGATTGCAACGATCAATGAGCCCATTACATGAAAACACAAGTGAAACTATACGCGAATTTTGAGTAATTATAATATATATGTTATATATAGCTTAACTAGTTATACAATTACACGTATACATGTTTATGTGTGTCATTTTTGAATTAGACATGAACATGGATAAATGATTATAATCAACTCCAATCATCAAATCCCCATATTTTGTGTTGTTTTGGAATTTGGAGTGTATCTTGTTCGAAATTGTATATAACCCTAAAATGTAATGTAAGTGGAGCGCTGCGGAGGTATCAATATCATCAAGACCGTCGAACGTGAAAAATGGAATAATAATCAAGAGACCAAAAGACAATACAACCCTTATCTTTCCCCTGTTTTTTTTGTTTTATTCTTATGCCATTTTGCCACCATGACCATTGAACCATTGACCATCCACAGCTCCAAAGAAAAGAGAGAATATAATAAATAATGGAATAATGAAAACCCAAACCATGGCTCATCTCCTTGTTCCTCCGATGATTGCCAATGCCATGGCTCATCTCCTTCCTCTCTCCTCTCCTTTATCCATCACTCTCTGCTTCTTTGCGTGGTTGCAAGCTTTCTTGGTCGTCCATGGCAATACTAATAACATCACCAATCCTTCTTCTCTCACCCCCATGAACCGCGATCTCTACCATTCCAGGTCACCTCTACTTTCTTTCTCAATTTGTTTTATTTCTTTACTTTATTCCAATCTTTTTGCACTAATCATGTATTTTGACTGATTAATCTCATCTGCCTTCTGCGGATTGTACCGAATGGTAGTTACTGGTTGATTCATGTATTTTTGGTTAAATCTTGAGATGGGTTTTCTGTTTCTTTCTATAATTTCTTGTTTTCTGACTCTATGGTTGGTTAGGTTGGTCACAAGTTGTAGGGAACCTTGGCTATTCCCTCCCTCACCTTTCAATTATTTGCCTTACTTTGATCATGTGAACTTGTTATGAATTCCTCAGCCAATTTAATTTAACCCCGAAAACATCATCTACAATAAATGCATATTTGTCTGCAGTGGGGATTTGATGGAAGAAATTAAAGCTCTCGTCTTTCGGCACCCAGACGAGCTCACTGTAGGTTTCCTCTGCTTGAGAGTCTGATCATTTTTCTGAAATTCATTTCATATTCCAATACTTTGATGTTAATGGCAGTTGGATACAATGAAATCTCGAAACAAGGGCTACTCTGCTGAGATCGCAATAGTTACCTATTGCCGGAGAAGGCAAGAGACTGATGACCAGCCAAAGTTACGGATCCTTCTTGTAAGTTTTTTTTTCATGTTTTATTATACGCTGAATTCGTTCTGACTATATTTTGCATAGTGGGCTGGCTGTTTATGGTCATAGATAATCTCAGATTGGTAATGGCTGGTGTTTTTGACAGATGATTCCTTGTCTTCCAGAGTTTTGGGCAGCATGGAAGGGAGCTTATTACATCCGAGCTTGCATTACGAATCCTATCAATCTTGAGTAAAGAACAGTTTCTACCCAACCTGGACCCCGTGTCCTTAGACAGTACCCTTGACAAGCTCTTGATAAAGGTAACATTTTTGTAATGTGCTGCAATTCTTAGCTATTTCTTTGGAGAGAGATACTTCAACAAGTTTGGTATTTTTTGAGTTCTGATATCTTATTTTATGTCAGGTGGTTCCGATGGAAAACTTAAATGGCCGTAGACTTGTTGAAGCAGGAGACCTCTGTGAGAGGAGAAATGGTAAAGCAATTGATTTTCTGGGATCTAAAATATATATGCACACACACGCACACAGAGACACACAGACACCATTATAAATAGAATTCTCTGTCAATCAAATGCTCCCCTATTATATGAAAGAACACTAATAAGAGATTTTTCCACGGATGGCATGGTAACTGTAAAATGCTCCCGTGTGTGGTAATTCTTCAAGATTTTATGTCTGTTTATGTGCATGAATCCTTGATTTATGTATCTCTTCTTATAAAGATTGTTGAATGCTTAATTTGCATATTGGACAGGGAGGGGAGTTGATCCCAACCGTAATTGGAGCGTGGATTGGGGAAAAAAAAGAGAAGGTTAATCATACAATACTGCATTTATCATGTTGCTTGTTTATTTCATCATTTAAGTGTATTGAATTGATTAAGATGTCTTCTTTAGGTCGATGTTCTTTAAGATTATATAGCACTACACTTAATATATAACCCACCATTAGATGATGAGCTTCACGTATTGTTTCCTGCTTCGTCTCCTTAACTTCAATATTCAACTGTCATTCCAGTTCTGGTTCTATTTTGTGCTTAAGACTATTCTTTTGCTTTTATTTTGTTTTTCTATCCCAGGATTATGATCCATCCTGGAACTGCTCCTTTCAGCGAGCCTGAAACTCAGATAATGCGGAAAGTTTCCATGTCATTTGATCCACACATATGGATTAATATACACTCTGGGATGGAGGTAGGTCACATAAACTTTCAGTTAGTATTCCCTCATGTTGACTCCGAAGTCATATCTACCATTTTTGAAGTTAATTATTAATGTAATTCCGTTTTACCAAATGCAATGTCACCCTATGGTTTGCCACTTTATACAATTTTACGTTCTTTTTCCAATTACCATTGAAGTGTCAAAGTGATCCTCAATTTTTTATTCTTTTCAACTTAGGGTTTGTGTACTCTGCATATGATACATTTCTTATATAGCTTCTGGTTTGTTCAGGCTCTATTTATGCCGTATGACCATAAGAACACAACCCCAGATGGACTTTCCTCCCACCAGATGAAGTCATTGCTTGAAGAACTCAACCAACTGCATTTCCAAAAGCGTTGCATGGTTGGGTCTGGTGGAGGTTCTGTTGGGTTAGTAATACTAAGTCATTATTATAATGTTCAGTTGATCGTTACCTGAAATTTTAAGATCAGATTCTATTCTTTACGTAACCACCTTTTGTGGTGGTAGCTGGACTGCAAGGCTAAGCCCTGCTGCGACTGAAATTTTAAGTGCTTTATTTGGCTCATTAACCTTTAGCCCCCACCCCCCCCCCAAAAAAAAGAGCCAACATTTCTCCTCATGAGCCAAACTCATAGGTTTCAATGCTTACTCTTTCAAATGGTTTTTCATCAAGTTTTATTTCTAGGTACCTGGCACATGGGACAGCAACTGATTTTATGTTCGACATTGTAAAGGTGCCAATGGCTTTCACCTTTGAGGTTTGTCAAGTTATCCCTCATTTTCCCCTCAAAGTTCTGATCTTAAAGCAACCTGACCCAGACAAATTTGCATCCTTTTTCGTTGTGACTCAGATATATGGAGATGGAGCAGCCTCATCAAGAGATTGCTTCAAAATGTTCAATCCCACAGAATTGGGTACCTTCAATGTATGTCAGTTTTTTGGTCATCTTTTAAGTTTCTGCATATATTTGAAGGGTCAGTTAATGAAAACAGTATAAATCTTTTCGCTTTCAGAGAGTTCTCAATGAATGGTCAGCTGCATTTTTCACAATTTTTAAATTGGGGCCAGAGCAGCTTGGTGAAAATTATTCAAAGTCTTCTGTGCCCACCTTATTAGACAAGTGGGTATCCATAGATGAGTATCTTGAAGGGTACTTAGTCGAGAGGAGTAGTAGATACGGAAAGAAGATGGAGGTGCTTGAACTAGGAATGCAGGAGATAAGAACATATTTCAGGCTCTTCTTGTTATCGTCTGTTCTGTTAATGTTCATGTTCTGTTCCAGAATTTCAAAAAGCAAGTGTGCCAGACCAATTGTTTCTGCTATTGCAATCTGATACTGTGAAACGACTCCGTGTTAGAGGCTTCGTGCTGCACTGTATTGACCGACATGTTGTTCCGCACATTTCCTCCACTTCTCCATTGATTTTCAATACCAATTGTGAAACACCATGAGCAGCAAGAAGTTTAGGTCCATAATTTGAAGTGAATTTTTTGATTTCACGTTCCCAGTTGTCATGGGAAAAAGGAGAAGCAAAAATAAGAAACATGTAGGGGGTGGGTGTATGCCAAATTTTTTAGAAAAGCTGTACTTTAAGTTGAATTTTTTATTTTGTACAAGTACGCACGATGGGAACAATATTCAAACCCATAATATTCTTTTCATTTAAGCGATCATCTCTTTGCTTGGATTGAATTTATACTCGCATTTTACTCGAATCTCTAAGCAATTAATCGTTGTTCTTGTTCATTCCTTGAATAACCAAGAGTTGACGTCACCATATTTGTTTGCATACTTCCTTCTGATAAATTTACAAAAACACATGCAACTTAGTTTTATAATTACATTCTACTTTATGATGAAAAATAATCGGACAAATTTTTACAAGATACAAGCAATGAATCACATTTTATCTGGTGCAGCGGTGCTTATGGAAAACAATTACAACCCAAAATTTGAGTGAGGTAATGGTAATGGTAATGCTAATGGTGATGGGGGTGTATTTCTTCAGCTGTTCTTGTGTCTGTCACTAGGGTGTGCTCAGTGTCATTGTTCCCATACTCCGGAACACGATTGCCCTTGATATTGGATACTCTTGCACGATGGCCAGTGCGAATCATCATTCCTGCAAAATCATCAGACTGTCGAAGATGCTGGCATATGTGAAACTTAATTCCACAAAATTTTGACTATCATAAAGATAAACGGGTTTGGCCTAACCTTCGTACCAGACCTGACTAGACCAAAATAATAGGTGAACACATTTAACTGTGGCTGTATGACTCAAATCATGTCATTTAGGATCTGAGTGTCTGTTTCATGTATTTCAGCGCAGACCGTAACATTGCCCTCGCTTTCCTATCTGGAGTGCAGCCAGACATAATCATTTCTTCATACACCGCTGGAACCTGAAACCAAAATCATGCAACTTATACATTCAAAATCAAATATATGTATGTGTGTGTGTGTGTGTGTGTATACATACATACATACATACCTGTGTGCATACACAGAAGTGAAATGGTAAAATATTCAATAAAACCTTATAAGCTGAAAGCCTGGCTGTTATGCATGCAACGGTTATCTATGCTAATATTATATGAAATTCATACCTTACAAAATTTATCAACACGGATAAGGGTTTTCATAAGTGTAGTATACGTAACTACATCTGGTTTCAGGTCCTGCAGTTACAAGGAAACAAGATCAATTTTTGTACCAATCAGTGCAGTATCAGTGACTGTCACAACATTATAAATAACTTACATTTTCCTTCATGTACTGCAACACAGAAAAGGCCTCAGTATCCCTTCTATCTTCACCAAATGCGTTGATTAACGAATTGAGAGCCAAGGGACTGGGTTTTAATCCATCTGCTCTCATTACCCTAAACGCGTTCAGTGCTTGCTCTGACAAACCCTGTCAAAGATTCACAAGGAAGATCAAATCAAATGGATGCTCAACCCTCACACTCACGATAAGACAATCCAATTCACTATCAGGGATCCAAACAGAAAGACAAAACTGGTAGTCTGAAGTAAGAAGAATAGCTTTCTGGTTGATATCTATCTAAAAGCTTCAGCATCGGAATACAAGTAAATAAACACACACACACACACACCAAACAGAAAGACAAAACTGGTAGTCTGAAGTAAGAAGAATAGCTTTCTGGTTGATATCTATCTAAAAGCTTCAGCATCGGAATACAAGTAAGTAAATACACACACACACACACACACTCCAAACAGAAAGACAAAACTGGTAGTCTGAAGTAAGAAGAATAGCTTTCTGGTTGATATCTATCTAAAAGCTTCAGCATCGGAATACAAGTAAAAACACACACACACACACACTCCAAACAGAAAGACAAAACTGGTAGTCTGAAGTAAGAAGAATAGCTTTCTGGTTGATATCTATCTAAAAGTAAGTAAATACACACACACACACACACTCCACACACACACACACGCTTCAGCATCGGAATACAAGTAAGTAAATACACACACACACACACAGAGCATCGGCATACAAGTACACACGCACACACATTAACATTAGAGTAAGGAAGACAACTTACTCTTTGTGCATAGGCATTAATTAGGGCATTGTACATCGTCGGGGATGGCTTCATGCCTGCAGACTTCATAACCTCCAAACACTCTATTGCATCAGTAAATCTCCCCGACTTTCCATAAATGTCAACTAATGTGGTATAGGTAACTATGTTAGGCAGTAAACCCTGAGACTGCATCTTCCCCAACAAGCCTTTCACCTCATCCCATCTTTGCTGCTCCCCAAAGGAATTGATCATGATGTTATAGGTGGTGGCGCAAGGGGCGCACCCACTTTGCTGCATTTCCTCAAACAACTCCTCCGCCCTTACATGGTGGCCTGACTTGCAATGACAATCTATAAGCGTATTCCAGGTGACGGTGTCCGGGTGGATTCCCTCAGATAGCATCCTTTCAAAGGTAGCCATAGCATGATCAAGACAGTTGGACTTTCCAAAAGTGTCAATCATGACATTGTAAAAATGCCTATCGGGTCTTACTCCACTGCTCTTCATCTCCCTCAAAACTTGGAACGACTTTTGCCACTCCCCTCTATCACGGTAGCTGGCTAAAATCCTGCTGAAAACATAGGAATTAGGCTGCACATTGCTAGCTTCCATCTCTTTCAACACAATTCTTGCGCTTTCCCACCTACCTGCATTCGCATAGGCATCAATGAGCAGGCTGTAAGTGTGCTCATCAGGAGAAATACCGCTCTTCTCCATCTGGGACACAATGGATTCGGCATCTTTCAGTTGACCTGCCTTCACATAGCCTTTGAGAAGGGCATTGTAAGCCCTAGTCCTGGGTTGCAATCCTCCTTCTCTCATTTCCTCAAAGATAGCTTCGGCTTCAACGACCCTGCCGGAATTCCCCAAGGCTGAGATGACAGCAACCAGAGTGGCAGTTTTGGGGCTCAAGCCAGTGGCCTGGACCATGGCCAGAAGGTGCACAGCCTGGGAGGGCTCGCCGGCTTTGGCGAAACCAGCAATGATGTCGTTGAAGAGCTGGCCATCAATCTCAATGCTCTCGGACTCAATCTCCCTGTAGAGCTTGAACATGATTGGGGAATCAATCTTATTGGAGCGGGTGAGGGACTGAATGATCAAGCTGTAGTTGACGAAGTCGGAGCGGTAACCGTCCTGGCGCATGCGGGACATCAAATGGAGTGCCTTCTCGAGGTCGCCGTTGCGAGCACAGGCGCCGATGAGAGCATTGTAGGTGAGGGGAGTGAGGGATTGGCGCTGGGAGAGCAAGAAAGCCTCGTAGAGCTTCTCGGAGCGGCCGAGGGCGTGGATGAGGATGGAGTAGAGGAGTTCGTAGGAGAAGCAGAGGTTGTGCTTTTGGAGCCACGAAACGACGGCGTAGGCAAGTCCAATGTCGGAGGAGGAGTGGGAGGCGCAGAGGGACTTGAGGAGGGAGTGCCAGAGTGGAGCAGGGACAGCGCGGTAGGACTGGGCCAGCTGGAACTCGGACGGGTCGAGTGAGGTTGGAGAGGAGGTGGAGGAGGAGGAGGACGAAGAGGAAGAGGAGGAGGAGGACGAAGAGGAAGAGGAGGAGGCGGAATCATTATCGGATGACAATGAGTTGGCGAGGAAGGTGAGGAGGGGACCGAAGTCGTAGGGGGAAGCGGCAGCTTGGTCGTCCCCAAAGCGGCGTCGTCTCGAGGTTGAGGTTAAATGAATCGTAGTTGAGGAAGATGGAATTGGGGGCAGATGGGGTTCGGATGAATTGGTGACGGCAGCGGCTGCGGTGGCGGACAGAGGCCAGACATGGTGGTGGTGGCGGATGAGTGTCGGAGAAGCCAATTGAATGGAAGGGAAGCAAGTCGAACCTGGCACTGGCAGAAGCATCATCTTTACACTTCCTTTGAATTTGGTTGACTCAATTTACTAGTGAGAGAGCTGAGTTGAGCATCTACCTCCTCAAACGGCGGCTCCTCCTCCTCCTCCACCAAAGAAGTTGTGGTGTTGCAGTTGGGGATGGCTGTTAAGCGGCGACAAACCCCAGCCAACTGAATTACTCAACTGGGTATGGTTAATGGTATTCTATTGAGTATTTTATCGGTTTGTTTTGTTTCGGGTGGCGATAGTTTTAGCGGAGGGAAACGCCAACTGAGGAGAGATTTTTCACTGGTTCGAAATACGGATGTTACGGTAGGATTACAAATGGTGAAATATTTGTGTTAAAAAATTATTAACTTAAAAATAAGTTATTCAACCGTACTAGTATTTCTTTTTACTTGAAAGTGAATGGTCTTAAACTTAAATCTCGTAGATGACAGATTTGATACCAAATTAAGCTGTCTATTTTATAATTTAGATTTAGTATAAAAAAAAATCAATGTACTTATAAAAAAAATAGTCTTTATTTATATAAAACATATGGTGTACTAAAATTTCTCAAACCCGAGGGCCTATCTTGTGTGTTGCGGAACATGATGGAGTATCCCACGTAAACCTTAGAGCTGCCACGTAACTTTTTCAGATTTTCTATTTACTCGATCTTAGTCGTAGAACCACCTGATTCTGATTGGAGCTATAAAACCGTTTCGCTTTTGGTAGTTTAAACGGACCGTTAACCTCCGTCCCACCCTTGAGAGTTGGGAGTTGGGACTCCCTTCCTAGCTTGCCCACCACCAGCACCGGCTAGGGTTTCTCTGCTGCAACAATGTCCATGGGGGGTTCGCGAGCATCCTTTCCTCCGAACTAGGCAGCACCACCTCCCTCCACATTTTGTAGACTCTTTTGTTGTCTAAATTGTAATATATTTCTCTGGTTTTTGAGATAAACGTAGGAAATAGGAATAGGATTGATAACGGGAGCGAAATGATGCCATTGCCAAGGCCCAAGGGAGCTCCTGAAGCTCGAATATCCAAGTTTGCAGTTTGACAGTGGATAATGGTTTAATAAAATATTAGTCTAGTCGAAAGCAGCTAGCTGGACTTGGATTGGATCTAGGGAAGGGAAGTAAATGCCAGGAGTTGGGGGTCTTGTTCTAAGTAAATTAGTTCTGACCTAGAGCGTTCGAATGAACTAACTCCTTCAGTGTTCAGGTTCAGTATTGGACGTTGTTGCAGCTAGGACTTGGGGACTGGGGAGGCAAATATATACCGTAAAAATGTCCATATTGGTATATATAATC